AAAATGCCCCAGAGGGAAGGAATTCCCTGCATTTAAGTCCCCTACACAGTTTACAAGCACCCGGGGGATTAAAAACACGTTGGCTCCAGAGTAAATCTTGCACCAGGACGGACTCGTCGCAGCTCGGCGGCGCTTCCAGGGCTCATCTGCCACCTGCAGAGGTGGCAGCGCGGTGGCCTCGGCCTCGAGCCCCGATGCCCTTTAGCCAGCCCGTCCGTTTTGCCCCATTTTGCCCCGTTTTGCCCCGTTTTGTCCTCAAGGGAGGCTGCTGTGCCGGGGGGACGGCTCCGCGCACGGACACAGCAGCATCCCAGCGACATTCCAGATAAATAAACCCCATGGGACTGTTTCCTGAGCTCTCTCCGCTTGCCAAACACAACAGAGGGATGTTGGATTGGGATGGGGATTCCTCTTCCCTTTCTCGCACGGGAAGGCGCTGCAGCAAATCAGCTGGGTGGGAATTGATCCCATCATTTTGGGCTCCGGCGCTCACCTTTGTGAATCCAGGTTGTTTCTGCAGCTGCACGGACATCCCAGCAGACACGTGTGACCTTCTAGCACTATTTTGTGGGCTATTTTGTCAACCTGCTGCTTCTTCGACGTCCCAACCCTAGCACGGGAGGTGCACACCAAAACGGGCCCTTCCCAAACGCAGTTTCCTGCATTGCAGGAAAGACACTTCCAAGAATCCCATCTCCTGATTCCCTTCCCACCAGCTCCGCACGCACGAGCAGGACAGATGGACACAGCAGGGAAACTGCGGCTGCAAAGCCTCAAATAAAGAGACATTGCCACGGAACAGAAATTAATAGGGAATCCGAAAACCAACACAATCTCTTCTGAACTACATCAAACACCTTTGGGTTCAAATTCCAGATCTTCAGCATTCCCGATCGTGCAGCTAAAGCCCTAAACTCCTCATTACGGACAAAGTGTTTCTTCTAGGAGTAGAGCAATGATTCTCTGCCTCTTGGCCAAGTTCAAAACCCTGATACTAAAATTTAAGATATTTAAACTGGGCCAGGAGTTGAATGCTGGGCAAGGATTTTTTTTAGCAGGGTGGGAGGTTGCTGCCAGGATAAACTGGGAAGCACTTCCAAGTATTTTCTACTCAAGCCAACGTTCTCCAATAGCTCTGGCATTTTTGCAAGCAGGAATTAGGTGCGCATTAAAAAAGGTGCACATTGAAGTTAAGGTATTTTTGCCTCTTACTCTGCCGTTTGCAATGACCCTGCGAAAAGGTAAATATTTGAAATGGGAAAGAAGTTAGAGCTGCATAAACTGTACCCAGACGTGCCATGACCTGCGCTAGCCAAGGGCCCCACGGAGCACGGAACCGCATCCCTCTCCGGAGGCGCCGCCGTTCCCAACGCGGCAGCGAACACCACGGATTCTTCCAAGCTCTTTAACGTGCAGCTTCGGATCGAACGCTCCGAGCAGGATTCACAATGCTCGAGCTGAGAGAAAAGTCCTTAACGCATCCCCAAAAACACGTAGCCACGGATCTTACCTTAGCTGGACCTGGATGCTGGAATCGCATTTGGCACCAGGCAGGATATCTCTGCAACAGAAAAGAGGGTTTTAAGGCTGCTGCCAGGGCTAACCAGGGAAATTACAGCTCCAACAGCACTAAATGTCATTGCTGGCGGTGTATGCTGGATATATGTGGATAAAAGCATCTCCAGTAGGTCCAGGGAGGGGATCCTGCCCCTCTGCTCAGCCCTGCTGAGGCCACATCTGCAGGATTGTGTCCAGTTCTGGGCTCCACAGGACAAGAGGGATGTGGAGCTGCTGGAGAGAGGCCAGCGCAGGGCTCCGAGGATGAGGAGGGGCCTGGAACATCTGCCCTGTGAGGAGAGGCTGAGGGAGCTGGGCCTGTTCAGCTGGAGAAGAGAAGGCTGAGAGGGGACCTGAGCAGTGTCTAGAAGTACCTCAAGGGAGGCCGTGAGGAGGATGGGGCGGCCTCTTTGCACTGGTGGCCACCGACACAACTAGAGGAAACGGCCCCAAACTGAAACACCAAAAGTTCCACAGGAACTTAAGGAAAAATTTCTTGCCAGTGAGGGTGCCAGAGCCCTGGAACAGGCTGCCCAGAGAGGTTGTGGAGTCTCCTTCTCTGGAGATCTTCAAACCCGCTTGGCCGCAGCCCTGTGCCACGTGCTCTAGGTGACCCTGCGTGTGCAGGGGGCTGCACTGGATGATCCCTAGAGCTCCCTTCCAACCCCAACCATTCCATGATTCCATGATGAAAAGCGGCTCCGCTTACCGGGACGCCAGGATCTGCTGCACTTGCTGCGGGGTGAGTGCGAAGGTGAACAGGGCCTCGTCGAAGCGCTGCCCGTGCGCGGGCGCTGCGGAGAGAGCAGAGGGGAGAGTCGGCATCGCGGTGGCCCCGGCCGCGCCGCCGGCAGCGGGAGCTGGTCTCGGCGTTCCCGAGGTTCCGAGTCCTCCAGGGTGGCCCCAGAGGGAGACGTTTGCGGTTTCCGTCGTTTTACAGGCACAGGAAGCAGCACGTCCCTCGTGCAGAGCGGAATACGGAATTCCGGGATCTCGCCCCCCTGCTCTCCGGTGACCGAACCACCCCCCGAATAACACGGAGAGCAACAGGGTGGACGACACAGCTCGAGGAGAGCCGGAGACGGGACGCGGAGCTAAGGGAGCGCCCGAGGCCACAGGATGCGCTGGGAATTTACAGGAATCAGGAATTTATAGGAATGATCATCGGTGGCGTCATCCCCTTCCCAGGCACACGATGGAGCCACAGCTAATTCGGGGAGAACAGGGCTGTGCATTCCATTGGGAATAAAGAGCCGAGCAGTAACCTCGTCGCGGGGAAGCAGGGATTCCTGGTGGGAGCTAACGGGAGCACGGAACAAGGCACATGGGAAAACGGGCCAGCAGTGCC